TGCTGTACACACCAGAATTTCCCCATTGTGGGATAATAAAGGGATTTTTCTATCTATTCTATTTTATTTTATTCTATTCTATTCTGATTCTGCCAACTAAATTCACAGATTATAGGCTAGTTGATTATAACTAGTTGAGGGTGAGGCAGACAAGATTATATTGGATCCAACAGCACAGTATGAAATGTTAGAGCTAGCCTTAACCCTAACCCTGTGCCAGGTCTAAAATAAGGTCTAGGACATACTCTCCTTTTAAACCCAGTCAAAAAATATTCAGTGTGATTGATAAAGGCTTTCTAGAAGCCTGTCATTAGCTTTAATCATTGCATAAACAGATTCGATATTTTCCTTTAGGAACAGCCATGCGTGTCCACATTCCAACTGTCCAGCTTTTCATTTGAGATTAAATCAAAGAATAAAAAAAAAAAAAAAAAAACATTCCCAGCACTATAAGATACTGTTGCTGCTATCCCGTTGAAAGGAGGTTTATTGTCTTTAAAAGCCCAACTTTCTGCTTGTCATTGTGGGTGAACACCTTCATCGTTGTCTCATCTGATGATAAAATGCTCTAGCCTCGTGAGACCATCCTGATCTCGCGAGCTTTCAAGGTTTCACTCGCTAATCAGTCTGGAGACTCTCCGTTAAAGAAAATTTGAACGTCCAATCAGCGTTGGCTTTGAGGCGGGTTGAGGTGTGACGCAACGAGAAGCGCGACAGTTCAGTCTAAAGAACATGGCGGCTTCAGCCGATGAAACTAGCGTTAGCGTGGCTATCGAGCAAGTTTTATCGGAATTACAGAGTATTTCTTCACTGAAAGAAGAGCAAAACACTGCTCTGGAGGCTTTTCTCAGAGGAAAAGATGTTTTTGCTCTTCTACCGACTGGTTTTGGCAAGAGTAGCCTGGCTTGTGGTTGTGTTTTCGTCGTCGCTCTGTTAGTACGTCATATGCTTCGTTGATCTGATTGGTTTATTTGGCCCGTCTATCACCAACATAGGCCAATCAGCTAACCAGTATTTTCGCCCCTTCCCAAAATTACTTCAAAGGAAGGTTTCAGGAGGAGTCAGGTTAAAAATGCTCTGCGGGAAGGCCAACATGGCAAAACATCGAAACACAATACATGTAACTGCCTTTGTTTTTGAATTGAGGAGGTACAGTAAGTGAGAAACTTTGCCAATGGAACAAGAAAATTTACATTTAAAATAAGAAAAAAAAACAATGAATGAATGATTTTGTGTTATTTCAAGTGCACATTGTTTAATTGTCTTATTTTTAAGAGTACAAATACTAATTCCATTGGCAAATCATATGTGTCCTATATGTATCATATATTGTCCTACTCAAATTAAGGGTAAGAATGGTTAATATAAGACATTTTACTTATATGCAGATCGTTTTTACAGTCTATAGCTTATCCATTGAGGTAGCAGGACATTCATCTCAATTCCTAATCAATTGTTTTTATGATTTGACTCCAAAATTCTTTCAAGCTTCTCCAAATTTAAATTTTTCTCTCCTGGATCTTCAGACTTTGTTAGACTTTTCCACATCTCTTAATATTTATCAGCCTAATGAATGCCATCTTATTCATCTTTTTATGTTCTACCAATAAGAATCTAGTTGCTGCAATGAGGCATAAAGAGAGGTTGCCGGGTTAGTTTTGTAAAGCTTAAATATACCCTGGAAAACTGCATCATTTAATAAAGGTTTAAGATGAATGTGTGTGTTTTTCATTTTCCTCCTATACGTTATACGAACCCTGGATTGGCTTGAGATTTCACTCTAAATTTAAACCTACTCACCTGATTCTTGTTTTTAAAATTCATTGACTGTTTTTTTGAACCATGAAAGCTGAATTGTTGTGAAAGTTCATTATTTTATAAACAATCTTAATTTTTTCATAGCATGAAAACAACCTGTGGACTTGATGTTTATCCTGTTGTGAAAAATATCTGAAAAATAATCTCATGCAGCATGAAGAGATCCTGTGTTCTTCCAGCCGGCTCATGGCCGTGTCCCTCCGGTCCTGTGGGAACATCTGCTTTCTCTGTTCTTTATATAGAAGGATGGCAGTGAAGGGCAAATAGCTTGTCTATGGGAATCAATGTAATGGTCACTCTGACTGTCTTTCCTGTGGAGCCCTCCTACAAGCAGTCTGCTTAGTCATATTTTACTGACTACAGATAGTCTTTTTCACACAACAAAATCAGCAAATTGTGTAACTACTTTTCAGAAACATAAAAAAAAATACATGTAGCCAGAATACAGATTTTATTAAGCAGAGAAAATACTATTCAGAAGAGGTAAAACACCAAAAATAATTTTTTTTTAATACATTAATTCCTTTCACACAGCATAAGAAGGTCACTATTACATTTAAAACGAAATATTGTCAAAATGTGTGCGGATTAGCACAATCAAAGCATGATTGGGCTCCTGAAATTTCGAAGCAGAGCATGATGGCCGTGAAAGTAAAAAAAAATTGGTCCACTGAACCGTCAAAACACACAATTCAGGTTACCAGGGACGATGACTCTTTGCTGGACAAATCGGTCAAAATTAAGCATCAGAAAATTTTTCTAAAAAGGTGAAATTCATAAATAGAGGCATGGAGAGGAGACCTTGGCATGGAGCTGAGCCATCACCAGATGATGTAAGTCTCATAGAGGAGGCAGATAATGAAGGCAGCTGGGGTTGGCTTTTGGCAGCGTGTTCTGTTTGGAACCCAGTGGGGGAAAAACAGGAACAATTCAGATTTTTTTTTTTTTCCCGTGTGAAACAGGAGTTGAAAAAAGGAACAAAATCCTCGCATTGACTTTTAATGTAAAACATGCACACAAAAATACTCACATCCTGCCCCTACAGACTTCCGACGTGACATTTCTGACTAGAACACCACATGCAGACTTATTTATACGAAGGCTGAACTTGACAAAGTCATGCAAGATGGAATGTTTTGGTATTTTTGTTGCTTGTGAATCTGACTCAGACTTTTCTCAGTGAAGGGACTCAAATCAATGTTTGATCATCTTTAGGGCATTTCCTGGAAAATTCTGTCATAAAATCCATATTACTGTTGACTGGGAAGGGGTTTTTTTTATGGAAAAAATATGCCATGTTATATTAAAAAAAGAAAACAGCTAGAGTTAGAATTGTAATCTTGTCCACAGATATCTAAAGATTTAAAAATACAAATTTGTTCTTTTCTACTTAGAAAATGAAGTGAAACACATCTGATTACTACAGATTTGAAATAAATGTAGGGCCATTTCACCATTCTTTTCAAACCCTGTCTTTAAAGGTTAATTAGATAATTAGTACTTTTGTTGGGATAACTTTTTACCCTGCTGTAGCGACAAATCATTTAGTGTCTCCAAAGTAGCAGATGATGGTTGATGTAAGCACACTAAAGCAAAGAATATAAACTCACAGTCTTCTGAAACTTGCTTGGACCTTTCCTAAATTGCTTAAACCAGTGATTTCCAACAAAAAGAGACAATATTTTATTTCAGAGGTTAAAAAATAGAAAAAGAAATTAGCAAAGAAATCTAGCTAGTCTGATAAAAATGAAGAATCCAAGAAGATTAACTTGATATCAGTGCTTAGGTCCAAATCTTTAAACGTGCAAAATTATTATTTCGCGCATTTAAAGATATTTCAAACCTGTAGATATAAATGTTTCATACTGTAACCTAATGAATAATTGAAGAGATACATTTATACCTACATATTTAAGTGCTTAAAACTGATGCTAATTATTGAAAAGTTTGAATATTTTCAGATGAATTAAAAAGAATTTAAACTTCATAAACAATACCTTTTTTTTTTCTTAAGAGTTTAGCCTACTGCTGCAATGAAAAAACATTAACACCTATAATGTGGATTTGGTGCCCTATAATGATGTTCTACCTTTTGAGTAAATATTCAATCTCCACCCACAGGATCCAATATTTTTCATAGCAGATCTATATAAGTCGAGAGGATTACAGCAATACACAGTTTGATTGTACTTTTGTATATATAACTGGAAATAATTATTGATGAGTTAATATTTTATATATTAAGTGCTTTAGTTTTCTAAATAAAATGCAAGGATTGCTCCTTAAAATGATTAACTGTAATTGGATATTGGGACTGACTTTTCAGCAGCAATAATATATCTTGGGGTTTTCCAAAATGGCTGCTACATATAAAGGCAGCAATAAATGTTAGCCTGGGAATTTGTGTGTTTGTACATTTTAAACCACACAGTCATCCTGTACTTAATTATTATCCCTTCAGTTTATAAATTCCTAAGCTGAAGTAAAAAATTAAAAATGCTTTTATTAGCTTTTTCCTTTTTTTATTTATTATAATTTTTTTTGCAAAATTTGGTCTGGTTGCTTAGCACAGCAGATTGGAAATGCAAATGCTGTTCCAACTTGAAGGATAAACTGAGAAATATTTTAACTGCTAAAATGGATGAGTTGTTTTTCCATGACGGTAATGACCATAACTCAACATAATTGATGAGTTGTCGTTAAAATGAAGTATTGATGAAAGTTTTTATTTAATAACATAGACAGGAAAAATAGTTGGCTTTAAAATACAGCTTTAAAACCATCACTGTATGGATATGTTGTGCTTCTTGTGCCCCAACTGATTACACACATATATAAGAGCCCACTTTAAACTAAAAATATATATATAAAAAAAACTTAAGAATAGCTGTAAATATATTGGATTTATAAAATAGTTGGAAAGCACTGGTTTAATCCCAGATGTGTTTATAGGCTCTCTTTTATGGCACCAAAATATTATTCTTTTTTATTAAACATTGAAACAGACATATTTAATCCGATTTTTACGTAAAACTTAATGGAAAAACGTTTAATTTATGACTGAGGTAATTAATTTTTTAGCAGTCAAATCCTGCTAAATGAAAACAGTTAGCTAACTATATTTAGCTGCAAAACCCTGCTAAATCATAGCAGTTAGCTAGCTGTGGCTAACTGCTATTTTTTAGCAGTCAAATCCCAGCTAATTCTATATAAAATCACTTTAATTTATTAGAAATGTTTTCTCTTTTGTTAAGCAGATGGACAGAGGAATCAGTGTGAAAATCTGACTTAATCTACAAATATATATTTAACCTGCAGAGATCACGCTTTGATCCACTTAGCTAGACAAATATAACAGAAAATCATTTCAAAATTCAGCAAACATAAAGATGTAAACTTGAGAACGACAGAGGTGAATGCTCATCCATGTTCTGGCAGTGAGGGACACTGTGACTGAACAGTCCAAAAAAAACAAAGGGCATCGTTTCACACAGCTGCAGCCTGTTAACGATGACCACTTGGCAGCTGGTGTGGAGTCAGCTCACAGGTTTTCGTTGGTGTCGTGTTGGCATTGGCCGTCGGTTACAGTGTTCAGGAAGGGCAGCTCCTCGCCGCTGCCTTGAAGCTTCAGAACCCGACCGTTCAGATCCAAGCAGCACTGAGGGAGGATTCACAGGGTGAGACATAATTAGTGCACTAAATAATTTACACAGATTGCCAGCCTGACTTCAGGAGACTAATCCAGGGATGGTTCAAAATGTTGTAGTGACTAATATTAGTTTAATTTAGCAAATGTATAACTATATACAACTGAAAGTGAAAGTGTTATATGTTGTTTAAACCTTTATACCCTTATTTGTTTTTTTGCTTTAATGCCTTCTATAAAATATACCCTCTTTTTCATGTGTCAATACCTAAAAAAATAGTCTACCAGTGTAGTCTAATAATTATGATTCCCAAAATGCAAATGCTTTATTTAAAAATATCCCTGCTTCTCTTAAAAATTATAAATTCAGATTTTTTTTTTATCTGTAAAATTAGTTTTTAAACTGTATTTTTCCATTCTGTCCTGCTGTGAATGACTATTAATTTTTCAAATTAAATCCAGTAAAACAGTGTTATGTTAAACTGGCTTTAATTATTAAATAAGTAATGAAAATTATTAGAATCTGTTTGTAAAAATGAAAATATGTACCTAATATAGTCTAAATTTGTGAATGGATATAATATCTAAACTGCTAGAAACAAGAAATAGTTTGATTTTCTGCTTTTATACAAGCTTCACATTGTTTTAGCTGCATAGAAGTTAAAAATCTCTAGTTTTGTGTCATGGAAAGAAACAAATCTATACAGAAATATAAGGGCTGTACTCTCTTTACTTATATACTGCACTAGGCTGGCACTTCATAAAAGTGCTGAAAATGTTCTGGGCCAATAAAGGTCCACCAAAATGTATCATCCAGTGCTGTTTGTTTTGTCACTCAGTCAATCATTGCACTAAAAGGGGTTTTCTAGAATAGATCATCTGATCTTATTATATTTGTGAGCTGCAGTAGTATTTTAATATTTACACTCTTTAACAACATTCTAATTGTGCTTCTTGTACTTTAGGCCTTTAATGATGTTTAATTACATTTTTCTGAAAATGTTGCTGAGGGTAAAATCACCCTCCATAAAAAGCTCTTGCTGAATTCATATTCTTTTCACACCCTAGTGTCCCTTTCTAATTAGACTTTTCACAACACAAGGCATGGCGCATGTAATACAGGAGCATCCAGTGCATTCAAATGCACTCTTTTATTTGCTTTAAAAGGGACAAAAAAAAAAGAAATGTCAGTTAGCAGAATTTCCAAAGTTCGCTCTTATCTGGGTTAGAGCTGCAGAGCGAGAAGCTGATAACAGGATTTGCTCTGTCTCTCCCTCCATGTTTTTTAAGCAGTTTATGCTTTTTCCATTTAGCTTTTTAGTCTCATAAATGACTAACTTGTTTTTTTTAACATTTTGGCTATAAGTCACAGAATATTTGCAAAGCAAATTAGGACCTTACATTCAGTTCCAACAGCGTCTGCAGACCTAGGCACAGTTCAAACGCCTCATCCTCTAAAAATGAGAAGGAGAGAAAATTCAAGCAGAGAAAATGAAAAATAAAATAGAATTGGTTTCTAAAAGCAAATTACCAAACTCACCTTAGCACACATAAATTAGACTGAAGCTCTACAAAAATATTCATTCATATGATAATGGGAGCTGTTAAGCTTGTGCTCCTGAGGGTGAGTGTTATTGTTGTAATATAAAAACTTAATATCCCAGAGTGTGGGTATTGGGCTGAATTTTTGGCCTGCATTAGCTGTGTTTCACTGATTAGCAATGATTAAGTCCTTACAGGGTGGCATAATTTTACATCTGGCTTCATTAAGACCACTGAAGATTTTGTTAAAAACTTGGCTTCATAACCATTTCTTGACATGCATGTGTGTAAGGCCTAATCTTTTATCTGTGCTAAAGAATAAAGGGATCATATTTCTATAAATATTTCTCACTCAACTTCCGAGGTTATAGATACCAGCAGGTCAGTCCTTAACATAAAGCAGCATTTTTGGTATTTGGCAAAATATGAAACAAACCTTAGAATATAGGTTTTCTTTGCAAACTGTAGACTTGTACTCACTTTTCTGACCCTTTATCCCAAAGGGTTGTTATAGAAGAGCAATGTTATACAGATGCTTTTCTCCAAGTTAGATTCTGGTTAATCTATATAACAGAGGTCACTAGAACAACTGTAGATGCGTCTGAACAGCCTTCGCACCTCGGGAACGCTCTGGGGTGTATCATGACCACATTACAATATGTAAAACAAAATATATATTTT